TAAAATTAATCTACATTTTAAAAATAGGCATTAGCTCCGGTGCAAACAATATAAGTAAATTTCGGTTTAACTTACTGCTCCTGTTTTTCTAATACTTAGAATTAAAAAACAGAAATAATTATAAGAATTAGGAAAAGATTAACAGTAAGTTGAACCGAAATAAACCAATATTACTTTGGTTGAACCGGGCTATAGCTGTCATAACGATCCAATCATCATTCAATCAAAATGTGATTGATTCGCGTATAAGTACACAGGACGATTCCGTGCTACACTTAACGCCAGACAATGGTCGTATTCAGCAGACTCAACAGTTTTATAACTATTTTATGACTCTTCGTTAAGATAGGACTTTTTCTTTAGAATCTAAAAGTATGATCAAATCAGCGAGACGAATTATAAAATGGTTGCAAAACTGTTGAGTCTTCTGAACGCAGCCAATGCAACGATTTATGGTACAAAAAAAATTAATATTATATGTAGACATTCTGCATGTTATAAATAAAGAATATATAAGAAACATTATTACATGTAAAGTTTTTAATAACAATGACTTACTTTGGTTTATCCTCCCGGATATCAATGGATAAAATCGAATCGTTTAAAGCAGAAAACACGACATAGGGTATCTCAGGATGCACAGCCAATTCCCAGTCATTCGCCATATCCATACGGATCGGATGAAATGATGAATGATAGTTCATCAACTGTCTCGATGAGTTATATTCAAGATCTAATAAACGTATACAACCATCCCAACCAGAAGTGACTATAAAATTTTCTTCATCTAAAAGCAGCCATTTGGCCTAAACATATATATGATTAAATTTTAAAGATTAATAAAAAAATAAAATTAAATCAGAATAACTATTACAAAACATTCAAAGAGCAATACTTTATTATATATTATACCTTTCCTAGGTTCTTATGGCCACTTGGAATGCAACGACGCTTTTTCCTCGCAGCCCAATCCCAAATAGAAACTGTCTTTCCATAGGCACTTGCTAATAAATTTCCTTTTTGATTGAAATTTAAGTCCCTCACAAAAAAACCCTATAAATAATAACCAAATTTTAATACATATCGCTATACGTAATTTAAAAAATCTATAAGAATGATCTAAAAGTAATATATAAAACATTGTATATAATAAAGTCAACATGTAACAAAATAAATAATTTACCTCAAGATCACTCAGTTTGTACTTAAACTCCAGTCGATTTACTGCATGTAAAGAACTATAAAATCTTCTTTGGAATAACGGATTACTACCTATTTGTCGATTTATTACTTCCTGCACAATGAACCAATTAGGAGGCGGTTTCTTTGTTTCTAAGTTATCAGATAACTTGTTGACGAAGTGATATTTTTCGCAATATTTATTTTAAGGAATAGCGTCTTTTACGGCAACGCGTAATAATAATATTAACTAATTTTTGTACCGACCGTAAATTGTCACACAAACAAGGAAAGAATAAACGCCTATAACGGTCAAAGCTGGATCAAAGTGCTAATAATAAGTATATGTGAATTTTTATATGCTACATATGTAGTCCCACCATAATTGCGCCCCATAATTATGGGAGGACTACATATGTTGCATATAAAAATTCACATATACTTATTATTAGCACTTTGATCCAGCTTTGGCCGTTATAGGCGTTTATATATATATAAAATAGAACGAATATACAGGATTCCTAGTATTAAAAAATTGTCAATGAAATAAAAAGGCAATTAAGAGTCAATTTTATACGTGTGATCTAATAAACCATTTACTAAATTAAAATAAAAACAAACTAAAATTCACACTATAAATGCGCACGCAATCAAAAGTCAAAATCATAACGTTTCGGCTGCATATTCGAGCCATCCTCAGATGTACATGCAAATATTAATTGACGCAGTAAAACATCTTTAGTTAACGCAGTAAAAAATTAACAAGAATATAACTATAATGGAGTGTTATGTTCTAAAACATTGAGTATTTCCACAGAGAGAACAATTTAACTCATCAAGCGATTGGATGATCGTTTGTGAGGTGTCGTTGTGGTTCTGAGGATGCAATGAAGACACAAAATTAACGTTATATTAATAAAATAATGTGACCAGCAATTGTCCCTCTGACAAAAAACTCACCTTCGAGTAATCCATGTAGTTAAAACAGTCATTTACTAAAATTCGGTGACGATCAAAATCATTATTTTTTACATTGCAAATGCAAGTCGTCCGAAATATAAAACTTTTATAACCGTCAAACCAACTCGACGTACGAAACTATAATGTTTAAGATTTCGGTAATGCAAAGTCATATCTTGTTTATAATAGGAATACATGCTTCATGTAGATCTAATGTGTCTGTCTGTAGGTTAAGATTGTTTTGCTGTTTTTTAATGTTGAGCATCTCTGCGACAATACATTTCCCATAACACTGTCCTTCATCTAAGATTTGTACATTATTCCAATCGAACTCATGTCCTTGTTGCAATCTGTGATCTGTTAACACCGATTTAGAGCTCGTATTCCATCTAATGTGATTAAGATGTTCTTCAATTCGTGTTTTTAATTTCCTTCCTGTTTGTCCCACATAAGACGCATCGCAGTCGTTACAATTCATTTTATATACTGCATTAGTCTTAGACAGGTAATCTAGTGGATCTTTATGAACCTTAATATATTTTCTTAGTTTATTTGAACTATAATATGCCACCTTGATATTGTTTTTGTTAAATTGTTTGAATTTGTCTGTAAGTCTCGGTACATATGGGACTATAATCCATGAAGGAAGCTCCGATGATTCTACTTTATTATTGTCATTTAAACCATTGTTATTTTTTGAACTATCGTGTGCAATGTTCTTGATCCTGTCATTGTATTGATACAATCAAAAATTAATTTCAGAGGGTAGTCATTTTCAATTAAAATTCTTATAATAAAAATTAAATTATTTCTATATGGAAAATTGGATGTGATAAAATTAGCGGTCTGTCTACTAAACTAATGATTATACTTTTCTTTTGTGATAATGGATGGTTTGAATAAAAATTGAGAAATCTACCCGAAAAAGTGGGTTTTTGGTACCAATCGAAAAATAAGTAATTGTATTAAGTTGTATAAAATAAGTAATTTATAAGTAATTGTCTTTGATAATGATCGAAATGTCAAGGAAATTTAAAGAATTTGTTCCGATTTCTAACGTAAATTGTAACCGTGGATGAAAAGAATTGAAAGCCTTAAAAAAGGAATCGATCTCAGAACCTCGGACAGTCGCACACGAGTCGTCAACATATCGAAAATGAAAGAGAACGTTGTCTTTATACAACATCAAGGCAGTTCTTTCTAGTCTTTGCATAACCAAATCTCAACGATGGGAGACAATGGAGAGCCCATCAGTGTCCCAAAATTTTGTTTATAAATCATTTTGTCAAAAGTAAAATAAGTTGAATCTAAAATAAATGTGTTGGCTTTTATAAATTCGATTTGTGTCCATTTTTCGTTAATACAATCAATTGCCATATCCATCGGTATATTAGTAAATAATGATATTACGTCCAAAGAAATCAATTTGTATTCTTCACGTATATGCATTCCTTTTTATGTACAATTGTTTTAATACTAAAATAGATTCAGACAACTATACCGTAACCAAGAAGCTGAAGAACTTTATTGGCCGAAGGTTGTGTTTATTCTTGGATATATATTTTTCCAATCGAAACATGTATTTGTATCATCGCTGAAGATGGCAAGAAACTGTTGCCGAAACGTCCGGAATAGATTGCGATCACTGATTGCGAATTAGATTGAATAAGTATAGTTATATTACAACTAACACTATGACTCTATAGCCTTTATACCAATGTATAATGTCAAATACATAGGTTATTTTATACTTTTATTGTGATAATGGATGGTTTGAATAAAAATTGAGAAATCTACCCGAAAAAGTGGGTTTTTGGTACCAATCGAAAAATAAATTATTGTCTTTGATAATGATCGAAATGTCAAGAAAATTTAAAGAATTTGTTCCGATTTCTAACGTAAATTGTAACGGTGGATGAAAAGAATTGAAAGCCTTAAAAAAGGAATCAATCTCAGAACCTCGGACAGTCGCACACGAGTCGTCAACATATTGAAAATAAAAGAGAACTTTGTCTTTATACAACATCAAGGCAGTTCTTTCTAGTCTTTGCATAACCAAATCTGCAACGATGGGAGACAATGGAGAGCCACAAATCGGTGTCCCAAAATTTTGTTTATAAATGATATTGTCAAAAGTAAAATAAGTTGAATCTAAAATAAATGTGTTGGCTTTTATAAATTCGATTTGTGTCCATAATTCGTTAATACAGTCAATTGCCATATCCATCGGTATATTAGTAAATAATGATGTTACGTGCAAAGAAATCAATTTGTATTCTTCACTTATATGCATTCCTTCTATAGTGTCGACCAATGGGAAACTATTTTTTATGTGACTTCTGGGCTTTAGGGAACGCTTCAAACATTGTACTATGTAAATATGACGCTAAAAGATGTAGTGGACTATCAATGGAAGAGACAATGATCCTGAATGGACAATTGGCTTTATGAGTGTTGGGAAGAGCATACGCCCTCGGAAGTGTCCCATCGCTGATGTACAAAAATTTATATTTAGATTCATTGATGTATTCACTTCTTAGATAAAGGCCACACAAGAGTTGTTTTAGTTAAAGATTTTTATATTAACAATGTGAAAGCATTGTGAAAGCATCCTCGGCTTCTTCCGAGGCTGATCGCCATCCAAGACACTACGGGGGCGGTCGGAATACTCAAGGGTGATGATTCGTCATTTACAATATATATATATTAACAGAATCCCCAAATAACCAATAAACAAAAGATATTGCTTAATGTAGCGCATTTTATTTGTTGTTTTTTTTCTCTCTTATGCCTATAATCCCTATAAACTTTAATATTCATAATTGCGAACAAGAATCTTATAAAAGAACACACGCCCCGCATCAGGGCGATTCACTGGCACCCCGAACGTGAATATCTTCCGACTGACTGTAGGAATAGCTGGAAAAATCGCTATCATTGTACTCATCGTCGGTAGCATACTTTAACTTGTAGAAATCTTCATGTAGATACTAGAAAAGACACAAAATAGTCAATTTAATATCGACATATAGTATCTATGACACAATAATAAGTTTGTTTGCCTTGCTTACATTGCTTATACTTTTACACTTAAAATGAGATAAATATATATCAGGGAAAAGAAGTAACTCGTTACTTATAACGAAGTCAGTTACAAATTATTTTATTGGTAACTGCGTCACTTTCTTTTTTCTTAGTAACTGTAACGTAATTACATTTTTTGGATAACGGTAACGAAATTTACAGTTACTTTTATCGTTCCTTTGCATACGATTGGACATGTTATTCCGTCATACCATGACAATTACATGTTATTAATTACGGCAGCTATAAATGTGGTTGTAAATTGAATGTTTTTTTATTTAATACAGGGGTACAAACATTTAGTTGAACTTAAGTAAAAATATAGCTGTAATATAGATTATGTGTATTTCATAATTTTCCTTTTAATTTCTAACTTATATTGTAATTCAGATAGTCCTATACAATCCTATATAATCTTCTAGTTTTCTAAAAAGCATATAAAAATTCCTGAAATATGTTAACATAGTTGTTAACTGCTGTAACGATCCTGATGTGATCTTTGATAGAGAAATATATACAGTACCATTATTTCAGAAATCATTTTGCTCTTCTATCATCCATGTGATAAATGGAACGTATGTATATCTTGGTTTGCTGCATATTTTACAGGTTTTAGAAATAGTGTTTTAAAAAAAACTAAAGAATAAAACTTTACATAGTGTCAGTGTTATTCATATATGTACATATTGCTTTTATTAACGTTTGAACAAAAAATACTGCAAAAGTTTTCAGACTAATTTTTAAAAAGTAACGGAAAAGTAACGAAAAGTTACCTTTTGAGTAACGGTAAAACTGTAAGCAATTATTTTTGAAAAGCGATAATTAGTAACGGTAACTCGTTACTTTTTTGACTCTATAACGAGTAACTGTAACTTATTAATTTTAAAAAGAGTAACTTTCCATTTCCTGATATATATTGGACGTTGTGCGCGCGTGCGTGCATGCGTGCGTGCGTGTGTGTGTGTGTATATATGTGTGGGTGAAGAGAAAGAAGCCAAAAATGCTTAGTGTAAAAAAAGTACATACGGCGAACAAACTTACTTTCACAAACTCTCTATGACAAATATATCTTTGTAATGCAAGTAATCGGAAAAAGAAATCGTTATATGCTTGCTTTCTATTTTTCTGAACTTCATGTACTTGTGAAGAACAGAAAATGCATAAACTATAATTTTATGGCTTATTGATACCACTAATTTATTGTATTCATCTATATTGCTTATTTTAGTGACGTTGTCTTAAAAATTATGTTATTTATTTATTAAATTATATGAATAAGCAAAAAAAAAGGAATGCAAAAAAACACAGATAATTCTTGTCTATACATACAGTCTTAAATGTTGATTCTGTTGGATCTTTATTGCTCGAAGGCATCCATATCAGAATATTGGACTCACTTGCCGTTGCAAGGATAGGAATATGGGGATGACCTAAGCAATGATGAGTATCCACCTATACATTAAATGAATAAAAGTTATTTTGTGCAACACATACTACGAAAAAGAAAAATTTGTTTATCAAATGCACAAAATGAAAGCACTTAACAAATTTGTAATCTTCTATCAACCACTGTGCCGCAGTTTTTTTTTTCTTGTCAAAAATGAATATATCACCATAAACGGATGCAGATATAATAAATTCACTTTTAGGTCCGAAAAAATTGATTTCATGTATCGCTGCAATCACAACACACAACTGAGACAACTTAATATCAACTATTCATAAATCAGAATTATTTAAAGCGTTGCTTTCTCAATTACATAGACAAAAAAATATAAAAAATGTAAATAAAAAATTTTTTAAACAATAATCTCAGAAAAAAAATTAATTAACAAATAAACCATTGGATAATGTTATTGTATGCTTCTTTTCTTTTGAAATATATATAAAATAAAGAGTTCTAAGAATAAAAAAAAAAATGCCGGGAATATACAATAATAATAATATAATTACATCTAACATGTCTCTTGTCTATCTCACCAGGTACAGAACTAAATTGAGAGCGTTCAAATAATGTATGATTCGAATTTCCTTCACATGACCACATTGATTTCTCAAATAATAATATTTCGGAGCAATTACACAATGTGAGAATCTCTGTCCCATCGTGATTATACTTGGTGACTATTGCAAAGGCGTCATGATCCTTCTAATACATTTAAAATACATATATAATCAAAACTCATGTAAAAAACGTAAACAATGTAGTATTTCTTTAAATATTCATAAACTTTTCAGCAATAGGGTTGAATCAAACTAATACATACCCTGTTATACTTGGTCGTCCACAATTGATAAAGTGGGTTCGAAATATTTCGCTGATCATACACCCTTATGCAGGGAAAATGACCGCCGACACAAAATTCATTACTATTAGAAGGATTACAATGTATACTTCTTAGTGTACTATTTCGAAGGTTTTTTATATGAAGCAATCTATGGATATGAAAATATATATATATATTATAGTGGATATATATAACATGTGTGTACAGAATAAAAATAAACACTTTTATCATGTAAACTCAAAATTTATTAATATATCTAATACAAACACGAAGCCTATAACAGACTAGCTTGGATCTTTAATTGTTTACACATATAATCTACCGCGGTATTATCACCAATTAAAACAAGTTATTGCGAGGAATATTACTAAGGCCTCGGTAGTCTAATTGGCTAGGACACTTGCGCGTAAAGCAAGGTATCCGAGTTCGACTCCCTGCCGAGGTAATATTTTTCACAATAAGAAGAATTATTTCCAGATTTAGTATTTTCAGATTATTTGAATTGCATTCCAAGCCCAACGATTGTTCGACGTGCAGTTTAAGGCAACTAAGTATATTAGTTAATTATTCATTCGTTTTAATTCGTGATAGTACCGCGGTATATGTAAGCAATTAAAGATCCAAGCTAGACTGTTGTAGGCTTCGTGTTTTTATTAGTTATGTTCTTATATTAACTGTCTTTAGTAATGAATATTATCAAAATTTAGTATTGCGTATTGTGTCTATGTAGAATTTAATCGACTTATGTTCGTTTCTACTAATTAACGTAGATTAAATTTAACTTTGTTTTAACTTTTTTTGTTGAATCTGGATCTTTTATGCTAGCATATCCTATTTTCTGTTTGTTGAGTTTCAAATGTACGATTCAATAAGATTCTTATCACTTTTTCTTGTCCAAAGTATAAGTTGAATCAAGATTAAAATTAATCTACATTTAAAAAATAGGCATTAGCACCGGTGCAAACAATATAAATAAATTTCGGTTTATCTTATTATTCCTATTTTTCTAATTCTTGGAATTAAAAAAACAGAAACAATATAAGAATTAGGAAAAGATTAACAGTAAGTTGAACCGAAATAAATCAATATATAAATATTACTTTGGTTGAGCCGGGCTATAGCTGTCATAACGATCCAGTCATCTTTCAATCACAATAAGATTGATTCGCATATAAGTACACAGGACGCGCCAGACAATGGTCGCGTTCAGCAGACTCAACATTTTTATACCTAACTATTTTATGACTCTTTGTTGAGATAGGACTATTCCTTTAGATCTAAAAATATAATCCAATCAGCGAGACGAATTATAAAACGGTTGCAAACTGTTGAGTCTGCTGAACGCAGCCAATACAACGATTTTTGGTACAATAAATATTAATATTATATGTAGACATTCTGCATGCTATAAATAAAGAATATATAAAAAACATTATTACATGTGAACTTTTAATAACAATGACTTACTTTGGTGTATCCTCCCGGATATCTATGGATAAAATCGAATCGTTTCCAGCAGAAAACACGACATAGGGTATTTCAGGATGCACAGCCAATGACCAGATATTCAGATAAAGATTTATACGTTCCGGATCAAGACTGGATGAATCACAGTGCATCAATTGTTTCGATGAGTTGTATTCAAGATCTAATAAACGTATACAACCATCCCAACCAGAAGTAACCATAAAATTTTCTTTATCTAAAAGCAGCCATATGGCCTAACATATATACGGTTAAATTTTAAAGATTAATAAAAAAATACAATTAAATCAGAATAATTATTACAAAACATTTAAATAGCAATACTTTATTATATATTATAAACAGTGTTGTGCAAGGTACTCTATTTTCAATACCTAGGTACAGGTACAGGTACTCTAGAAAAAATGTACCGAGGTACAGGTACAGGTACTAAAAAATAATATACCTAGGTACAGGTACAGGTATTTTAATTGTACCTTATAAGTATCTTGTAGGTACTTTTATTTTTAACATAAAAGCTCAGGATAAATTGCATTTTGACGACAAAATGCAATTTCGACAGCTTATTTATTAAATATGATCTATATATTTCATGTATCAGCACGTAATTAATTATTAAGTTATTATACATATATCTTATGTATACATACATTAATATTCTATGCAAGTTTAATTTATAAAACCATTTTAGTTTTATCAGAATTGACATGTACATATTGACATATGATACATGAATGTAACAAGATACACATTTACTTATTATAAAAATGTGACATTTTAGTACCCCGCTATTACTAAAATGTTACTTATTAACACAGTATCTGAATGTGTAAATAAATTTATTAGAATGATAACATTAAAAAAATTAGACTTTCATTCTAATTTAGATCATTTTAATAAATTTACACACTCAAATCTGGTATCATGAAGTTTTCAGTTAAGCAATTGTGAATTTGAAAAATAACTAAAGTGTACCTAAATATATAGGTACCGGTACACAAGAAATGATACCTAGGTATAGGTATAGGTACCAGAAAAAAAAAGTACTCGGTACAGTTCCTAGGTACGCAAATTTGTACCTAGTTACAGTACCTAGGTACTGCACAACACTGATTATAAATACATACCTTTTCTAGGTAGTTATGGCCACTTGAAATGCAACAACGCTGTTTCCTTGCAGCCCAATCCCAAATAGAAACTGTCTGCGGAGAGGCTCTTACTAATAAATTTCCTTTTTGATTGAAACTTAAGGCTCTCACAGAATCCTATAAATAATAACCAAATTTTAATACATATCGCTATACATGATTTAAAAAATCTATAAAAATGATCTAAAAGTAATATATAAAACATTGTATATAATAAAGTCAACATGTAACAAAATAAATAATTTACCTCAAGATCACAGAGTTTGTACTTAAACTCCAGTCGATTTACTGCATGTAAAGAACTATAAAATCTTCTTTGGAATAACGAATTACTACCAATTTGTCGATTTATTACTTCTTGCACAATGAACCAATTAGGAGGCGGTTTCTTTGTTTCTGAGTTATCGGATAACATGTTTTCTTCTTTTTCTTTTTCTTTTTCTACTATTACTACTGCTTCTGCTTCCTCTTCTTTATTCAATTCATTCTTATTAGCAACAAAATATTCATTCGAGTCAGCTATAAAAAATTTAGAATTTAAAATTTTATCAAAGAAGTAATGCAAAATTTATATGTAAATTTATATATATATAAATTTTGCATTAATTTTTTGATAAAATTTAAAATTCTAAATATATATATATATAATAGAACGAATATACAGGACTCTTAGTATTAAAAAATTGTCAATGAAATAAAAAGGCAATTAAGAGTTAATATTATATGTGTGTGTGATCTAATAAACCTTTTACTAAATTAAAATAAAAATAAACTAAAATTCACACTATAAATGCGCACGCAATCAAAAGTAAAAATCATAACGTTTCGGCTGCATATTCGAGCCATCCTCAGATGTACATACAAATATTAATTGACGCAGTAAAACATCTTTAGTTAACGCAGTAAAAAATTAACAAGAATATAACTATAATGGAGTGTTATGTTCTAAAACGTTGAGTATTTCCACAGAGAGAACAATTTAGCTCATCAAGCGATTGGATGATCGTTTGTGATGTATCTCTGTGGTTCTAATAAGGATATAAAATTAACGTTATATTAATAAAATAATGTGACAAGAAATTGTCCCTCTGATAAAAAACTCACCCTCGAGTAATCCATGTCGTTAAAAGAGTCATTTACTAAAATTCGGTGACGATAAAAATCATTATTTTGTTAATACATTGCAAATGCAAGTCGTCCGACATATAAAACTTTTATAACCGTCAAACCAACTCAACGTACGAAACTATAATGTTTAAGATTTCGGTAATGCAAAGTCATATCTTGTTTATAATATGAATATATGCTTCATGTAGATCTAATGTGTCTGTCTGTAGGTTAAGACTGTTTTGCTGTTTTTTAATGTTGAGCATCTCTGCGACAATACGTTTCCCATAACACTGTTCTTCATCTAAGATTTGTACATTATTCCCATCGAACTCATGTCCTTGTTGCAATCTGTAATCTGTTATCATCGATTTAGAGCTCGTATTCCATCTATTGTGGTTAAGGTGTTCTGCAATTCGTGTTTTTAGTTTCCTTCCTGTTTGTCCCACATAAGACGCATCGCAGTCGTTACAATTTATTTTATATACTACATTAGTCTTAGACAGATAATAATCTAGTGTATCTTTATGTATCTTAATATATTTTCTTAGTTTATTAGAACTATAATATGCCACCTTGATATTGTTTTTGAAATAATAAATCATAGTTCATCAACTATCTCTATGAGTTATATTCAAGATCTAATAAACGTATACTACGTATGTAAACTTCGGAACCAGAAGTGACCATAAAATTTTATACATCTAGAGGCAGCTATTTTGCCTAAACGCATATATGATTAAATTAAAAAGATTAATAAAAAAATTCAATTATATCAGAATAACTATTACAGAACATTCAAATAGCAATACTTTATTATATAATATAAATACATACGTCTCTTAGGTTGTTATGGCCACTTGGAATGCAACAACGCTTTTTCCTTGCAGCCCAATCCCAAATAGAAACTACATATGTAGAGGCTCTTTCTAATAAATTTCCTTTTTGATTGAAATTTAAAGCCCTCACAGAATACTGTAAATAATAATCAAATTTTAATACATATCGCTATACATGATTTAAAAAATCTATGATAATTATCTAGAAGTAATATATAAATCCTTGTATATAAGTCAACATGTACGAAAATAAATAATTTATCCCAAGATCACAGAGTTTGTACTTAAACTCCAGTCCATTTACTGCATGTAAAGAACTATAAAATCTTTTTTGGAATAACGGATTACTACCTATTTGTCGATTTATTACTTCCTGCACAATGAACCAATTATGAGGCGGTTTCTTTGTTTCTAAGCATTTTAAGTTATCAGATAACATGTTTTATTTTTTTTCTTATTCTACTATTACTACTGCTTCTGCTTCCTCTTCTTTATTCAATTTATTCTTATTAGCAACAAAATATTCATTCGAGTCAGCTGTAAAAATTTAGAATTTAAAATTTTATCAAAAAAGTAATGCAAAATTTATATGTAAATTTACATAATACGTCGACCCGTTCATACGGAGCTACAAAATCGCTTATCTGCCTGAGCCCTTAACATATATATATACCATGTATACATATATTTAGTATTTTAAATTTTATCAGAAAATCAATGCAAAATTTATATAATTATGTAAATTTACATATATATATATATACACGGAGAGAAGGATTTCTTAAAATTTACCCTGAAAATATAGTAATTATGGTACAATACAATAAATTTAAAGATTTTTACCATGCACTTCAGTAAAATTTATCATACTTAATTTATATTTTATTGTAGTTTTATTAATGAATGTGAAAGATTTACATCAAAATTCTTCAAAATATAATATTGTCCCACGATTACCATATTTTCAGGGTAAATTTTAAGATGTAATTCTTTCCGTGTATATATATATATATATATACACGTGTGTGCGTGCGTGCGTTGTTACGAGCGCAGAACGCCACAACTTGTAATAATGAGAAAAGGTTCGACGACTGTCTTTTGACCAAGCTTTATTCAACGGTGTTACAAGCACACTTACAGACTAGCGAGCTAAGGTTGATGACGAGAGTACGGCTTACGAAATTAGACTAACTCGAACTGAGCTAGAAGGATCTTTTTATTGACTAAAGAAGTGGAGTCTTCTATCAGCTCCAACCAATAATGTAAGTTAATATACCTCCCCGGTCAAGAACAAATTTGAGCTATACTAGTTGTTAGATTTATATATATAAATTTATTATAATAATAATATCGGTATATACGGAAAGTATCGACTTCACAGAGTCCTCAACAGCCGCAACCGAATCCTTAAAAATTAATTTAATATATTGGGAAAAATAATATCACAAGTTGGCGTTTCGTCCCGGCTTCCACTACTGGACTCATCAGTAAGGTAACGTAGTGGAAGCCTACCTTAGATGCCTGTTTTAGTTCTTAAATCGAGATTCTATATATACCGATATGCGCGTATTTCAGCACTTGCGAGAAACTTTACGAATATCCATAGACCTCTGATGGCGAGTCGACGTAGTAATATTCTTCGTAATTCTTCAATAACGTAAGATTTTAAAATACCAAAAATGTACGTAAAAGGGTAGAGAAAAACTGGAGAAAGTGACGATGACTCAAGAGTCCGTTAAAGATGAGTCATAAAATAAGTTCGTTAGACATATAGCCCTTTTTGCCTATAATTCTAAAAACATCATAAAACTGAATATTCAAACGAGGTTTACAAAGGGAAATATTCAAAAGAGTTAAATTGAAAGGAAAATAAAAGGACAAAAAGGGAAGGAAAGCAATTTGTGAAAGTAATAAAATAATGGCAGGGAACAAGGTTTATTAAGGTGTAACGCCAGTCCAGAATTTTCAAAATAATTATAAAATTTTTTTTGTATAAATGTTGCCTTAGAGTCTTAAAAATAATGTACACTTGGTCCCGTAGTGCGAAAAAATTTTTAAGCACTTATTTCAAAACCAAAACTGCCTTCGCTCGATTGATAAGAAAAGATTCGTGATGCTCGTGGCAGAAGGCAAAAGAGACCAGGGCATAGTTAAAATCCGTCAGAAAAGACGCAGAGCAGGAGAATTTGGAAGGCGAAATGTATATATGGTGCAGGCATTGCCGACTAGAGTTATATAAAAAAAATGTATACTCTCTCTCTCTCTCTCTCTCTTATATATATATATATATTTTAGTACTTAAAACTTTAAACGCGTTTTTCTCGAAACAACGTTTTTCACGTTTGGCGGAAACAGAACTCGAACAGTTTTTGACCGATTTAATCCAAATTTTTACAGTAGAATTGTAATTAGATTTTACACAAAAGTAAACGTATATATACGTACAGAAGTACGTAGGGGTTTTTTGATATTTTGTCAACTTTTTTTTGTTATAAACAATTTACGATGAAATTTTTTACCGAAAAATGAATTTCTTTTCAGTTAAGCATTATTTTTTCAAAATTCAATATTTTAAAAATTTCCTACGTACTTCTGTTACCTATCATATATAGTATTCAAAAAATTTTGGTTTTTTATTCCGGATTGAAAATTGTGGGAGAAACTTTTTCGGCCATAGTGATGCATGCAATATTCGAGACATCAAGATTCTTGTCTTGTCTTGTCTCGAAATCAAGACGATATCAAGACAATATTGATTTAATAAATTTCGATACGAGACGATATTACTTTTCCAAGATCAATATTCTCGGCTCAAGAATATCGAAAATATCGAATATCAAATAAATAAATATATTGGAAATATATCAAATTAATAGATAACATCTAATAGAAAAAATATAGAAATAATTTTAATTACGATTAGTGGCTTATTATTCATACTTATATAAATGAATATAAATGTTTTCACTGATATATGGAGTATTACTATTTTATATTATAATCTACGAGTATATTGTCTATATTATAATCTATATTAATCTATATTGTGTAATTGCAATGAAATAAAATCAATACAATTTTATTATAATATTATAAACTTCTCTTTTTCGCGTCGCGTCGTGACACGATGGACGACGCAACGCGTGACGTCGTGACGTGCTCAGTGGAAACGTACCCTTATGCACGCGCCCAATCGTCTATGCTGCCTTCCTTTTTCCAATTAATTGCGTTCAGCAAAAAGTTTATTTTGCAACTGTTGGAAGTTTTGTTTGCACTGATTGGATTATACTTTTAGATTCAGAAATATGATCTTATCTTAGTAAAAAATCATAAATATCGTTTGTCTCGTCTTTAGTACATTTAAATACTTTTTAAATTTAATACTTCAATACTTTAATATATTTAATACTTTTTAAATTTAAAAATTTTTTAATAAAAATCAATATTTTTGATAATATTGAAATCAAGACGAGATTTATTTTTGATCTTGATAACGAGATCAAGACAAGAATTAATTTTTCAATATTTTTGCGAGACAAGCCAATATTTTTCAAAATATCGTCTTGTCTCGTCTTCGTGCATCACTATTCGGCCGTGAAGCCCTTTCAGCGAGTGGTGGTCCGAGTTTCATATTATGTAGCCGCCATTTTGTTTAAAAATGTTAATTAAAAAATTTTTTTATTTGCTTCAGACATGTATAATAAACTCCTATAAACAGATTTCCCATTTCCTTTATTGTATCTCCGTAAAAAATTATCTAAAACACGTCTTTTTTTCGAGCTCTAGAGTGGCGTTACCCCTTAAAAAGGTTTAGGGAAAAATATGTTGAAACTTTTTATGCATTAAAACGTGACAACGGTTACGTTGGACATAACAGCGTGCGTGCGTGCGTGAGTGCGTGCGTGCGTGCGTGCGAGCGTTGTTACGAGCGCAGAACGCCGCAACTTGTAATAATGAGAAAAGGTTCGACGACTATCTATTGACCAAGCTTTATTCAACCGTGTTACAAGCAAACTTACAGACTAGTGAGCTAAGATTGATGACGACAGTACGGCTTACGAATTTAGACTATCTCGAACTGATCTAGAAGGATCTTTTTATTGACTAAAGAAGTGGAGTCTTTTATCAGCTCCAACCAATAAGATTTTAAAATACCAAAAATGTACGTAAAAGGGGTAGGAGAAAACTGGAAAAAGAGACGATGACTCAAGAGTCCGTTAAAGATGAGTCATACAATAAATTCGTTAGACATATAGGTACCATTTTTTATTAAGCCCATGACACAATGCGAGGGAATAGCGATAGCGATAAGTTTCAACTTATCAGAAATCGAATACACCGGAATACACATTTTTGATAGGTTGAAACTTACCGGTATCGCTATTCCCTCGCATTGTGTCTTGGGCTTTACACGTGCGTGACAGTGTTGCCAGGTGCCAGGGAAGGAAGTGTAGTACCAACTTAAAGAAATAGTAGTATTTATATCGTACCACAAGTCTAAATAGTAATACAAATAGTCGGATGTTTTT